GCGGGGACCGGGCGTCCCGCCCCCAGGTGAGCGGGCCGGATCTGCGGACGGGCCGGGGTCCCCCGTGCGGCCTCCTGCCGCCTCCCACCCTGGGACCCCTCCTCGCACGCCCCCCCTTTGCACACTCACATCACGCGCCCGCGAGGACCCCCTCCCCCCGCCGGGACACACACCCGGTGTCGGCTCTGCCTGTGCTGCGGGCCGCGAAGGGAGCTCTGGGGCTCTGGAACCCCGCTTTCGCTTCCAGGGCCCCAGCGGCGCCTGGCAGCTGTGACTTATCGCCCCATTTTGCCGAGGAGGCGGGCGATCCCAGCCAGGAGGAGGGAAATGGCTTGGGTGGCCGGGCGGGGGTCCGGTGCAGGCTTCCCCGGGCGGCACACTCCCGCTTCCTCCCCTGGCCGCCTGTGCCGAGCGGGGCCATCCCGCGGGGCGAGGATGCCGGCGGCTCCCGGGATTGGAGGCCCTGGGCACGGCCAGGCGGGGCCCCAGGGAGAGCTGGGAGCCAGGCCCTGGCTGTGGGAAGAGCTGGTTAATTAAGGGCTGAGTCTCCCTCGGTCCAGCCCACTGGTCTTGGCACCAGTTGGGCACAGCCATGCCCCCCCTTCCCAGATGAACCAGTTCTGGGTGTGGGTCCCTGTGACACAGCTCCCCCATCTCCGCCGCCCGCCTGAGCCGGCTCTTCCTCCCTTCACCCACCCATGCCGAGCCCACTCTGGGGATACCTCGGTGCACCTACTTGAGGATCAAGGGGGGCTGGGACCCAGGTGTGCCCCAGGCTCTTGCACCCCAGGTTTTGAGGCCGTGAGGACATAGGGGGCTTGACTTTGGGAATCAGAACTGGTTCGACCCCCCAGTTCCACCAGAGTCTGGGCTGATCCCCAGTCCTGTAAGCTTGAGTTTCCTCCTCTGTAAACGGTTTTCACTCACCAGCTGGTTTGTCTGTTTGGCAAACAGTGGGGCGGCATCGCTTGCGAGGACGGCGTCTGGGTGGTCGGGACCCCCACCCTCCTCACGGGCGTCTGGGGCGCGGGAGCGGGCACCCGCTGCGCGAGTGCTCGAGCTGCCTGGCACACGCTGAGTTTCGCGCGCTGTGCAGTGACCAGTGGCGAGTTAGATGTTAATGCTATTCGTCTTCCCCTGGCCGGGAGACAGGCCGGAGTTACAGCCCATTTTACAGAGAGGAAAGTGAGGGTCACTGAGAGGCCCTGACTCACCACCCCGCGCAGCCGCGGCCGCCGCCGCCGAGGTCAAGGCTGTCCTGCCCACGCACCTCCTTTAGCAGAGGGGGCCGAGGAAGGTGGGGCGCAGCGCGGCTTCATTCCTGAGCTCTGGCTCTCCCAGCGCTGGCTGGCTGGGCGCTCAGGAGGACAGGAGAGGTCGGGGTTGGATGAGGGAAGGGACGGGCCGTGAAGTCTGAGTGAGTGAGCCGTCTGTGAGGCCGGGAGGGGGGCAGAGGGGTGGAGGGCAGCTGGAGCCTTGAGGATGCGTAGGAGTTTGTGCAGGGAGGCGCCCCGGGGACAGCGGCCTGGGGCGTGGACCGTGGTGTCCGGAGAACGGGAGGTCCAGGTGGTGGCCAGGAGAAGTGGGAGATGAGGGAAGCCGGGAAAACCGAGGGCCTCTCGGGCCTAGGTGGGTCCCTCGGGTGGGGGGCGCCAGGAAGGTGACTGGGGCTGAGCAGGTGAGGTCAGATGGATCCTTGCCCAGGGAAGTGGCCAGCGGGAAGGAGGTGGTTCAGGTGCTCCCAGGACAGGTGTGAGGGGGCTGGGCTGGGCTGGGGCGCAGGGCTTCACGGAGGCTGTCCTTTGGCAGGTTTGGGGAGCACGGCGGGCTGCCCCCGACGCCCCCCGGAGACAGGGAGACGGGGTCCCGGGCGGGCTGGACCCGGAGCCGAAATTGAGCAAGTTGTCGCAGTCCCCGGGGCTGGTTTTCTATTCTGTGCGCCAGAGAGAAGGGAGAGCGGGCGTGTGAGGGTGGGCACGGCATGGGCGCTGGCACGGGGCGGTCCGGAGCGGGAACGGGAGCGCCCGGCTTCGAAGGCCCGGCCCGGGGAGAGCCGTCGCTGGAGGCCGTCATGGAAGCACCCGGGCGCCCGTCGGGCCGCCCAGTGACGCCATTCGCGTCCTGGTTTCTTCCTTTTTACGTGGCTACGAGAAAATATAAAGCCAAGAGCCCCGCACGGCCGCAGCGCTCCCGGGGCTACTCAGCGTGGGTGGCGGGCTCCCCGGGACTGCTGGGGTCGCCCCGACGCAGACTTTGGGCAGAGTGCAGACACTGCGGCTTCGCTGCTTAGGGAGCGGGCGCCGCTGCCCTGGAGAGGAGAGCGGGCGCCGCTGGCCTGGAGAGGAGAGCGGGCGCCGCTGGCCTGGAGAGGAGAGGCCAGGGCCGGGACAGGCCCGCCCCCTCCCTGCTGGGCCCAAAGAATTATGCAGCCCCAGACGCCCAAGCCAGGGCAGAGGCGCTGGAGGGGGAAGCGCCTGGTAACACTCGCTTCTTGCCCCAGCGAGGTTTTGTTTTGCGATGCATCGTGAGGGCCCTGACGGTTCCTGCAGGAAAGGGGCTTGATTTTGCTGATGGGAGCAGGAATAATCAGGGGCCGGGAGACAGGGCGGAGGGCTCGCGTCTGGGCACTGCCGGGAGACGCCAGAGGACGGACTGGACGTGGGGGACAGTGAGAGGAGGGGCGGCTTCTCCCTGTGATGGGGACGGAGCAAAGGAGAGCCGGGAGCACAGGCTGGAGCGCCGAGCTGCCCGCCGGCGGGCCGGGCCGGGCCACAGCGAGCGGCCGTGCTGGGGCGCACAGGGCCCGGGGCGTGGGGGTGTCTGTCTACTGGGCCTCTCAGACTGGGGGCATGAGCAGGGGAGGCCGGGCTTGAGTGGTGGGAGAGCGCGATGGCAGTGATGGCAGTGGGAGGCCCGTGGGGAGGCTTCCGGGAGGAGGAGGTGCCAGTGCCGGGCGGGCGCTGGGCCCAGGCGAGAAGGGCCCACCCCTGCGGCCTGGGAGGGCGGGGGAGGCGGGCGGGCCTGGGGGACCCGGAGGGCCCTTCTCTGAAGGAGCTGAGCTGAGAGGCCGGGGTTTCGGGTGTGAGGGGAGAGCTGGGCAGGGCGGGGCTGCGGGGAGGCGCTGCCCTGCGGGTAGGCAGGGCGCTGTGGGGGTGCGCCTGTCCGGAGCACACCGAGGAAGGCTTGGCACAGCGTTTCTGAGTAAGAGAATTCCTGCCTCCCTCTCAGCCTTTCCGTACACAGAGCCCCAATATGCAAAACCATTGCTCTGACTAGAGTAAGAGTGGGGGCTCCTTGGGCCCCACGTTGGCCTCCTCGACCTCCCCTTGCCCTCTGCTGGCCTCTTCTGGTCTTCCTCCTTCCTGCCCTCAGGGCCTACCTGGGACATTGCCGCCCCCTCCCCATGTCCCTCACCCTGGGTTTTATTGGCTGCCACCCCGACAGGCTCCCACTGCCCTCCTGCACCCCAGGCACCCCACCCAGCACTGGCACTCCCTGCCCCTAGAGGGGCTGCATCTGCTGCCCCCCGCAGCCCCTGCTCCACCGAGCCTCCGCCTGAGGGTGGCGTCTGCCTCGGGCCGGCCTCGAATGCCAATGCCAGGGCCGAGCTGTGTGGCCTGGGCCTGCTACTTCCCTCTGGGCGGCTTCTGTCTCCACAGGGAGGTTGCCAGCCGGCCCTGCTCTGGGGTTGGTGGACGGCTCAGGCCGGAGAGATGCCTTAAATGATAGACGCGGCCACTGGCCATCCCTGGGGGTGGGGTCGGCCTCCCCCAAGCACCCAAAAGGAGCAGCAGCAGGCCCCAGGCCTGGCACCTGCCCCCGTGGCGCTGTCTGTTCGGGTCCCCGGCAGCCACCTGGGGGTTGCCAGCGCCCCCCCCACCTGCGCACCCACATGCCGGGACTCACTCAGCCTTCCCTGCTGTGCGACCCCTTGCCCGGTCGCCCTGTCTCCCCGTCCTGGGCCAGCCGCCGTCTGTGCGCCTGAGCGCCCGCCCTGCCTTGCAGAGCACGTGCCCTCCGAGCTGTGGGAGCCCTTCTACACCGACCAGTACGCGCAGGAGCATGTGAAGCCCCCCGTCACGCGGCTGCTGCTCTCCGCCGAGCTCTACTGCCGGGCCTGGCGCCAGACTCTGCCGCAGCTCGAGACACCCCCCAGCCCCTCTGCGCTGCTGGCCCTGCTGGCCCGGAGGGGCACGGTGCCCGCGCTGCCCGAGCGCCCGGTGCAGGAGGCCGACCTGCGGCACCAGCCCATCCTCATGGTAGGCCCCGCCCCCAGCCCGCAGGCCCCGCCCCAGCCCGCAGGCCCCGCCCCAACCCGCAGGCCCCGCCCCACCCCCGCAGGCCTGGCCCCCTCATCTGTGGCCAGGCCTTCTGACTCTCGGTCTCAAAGTTCTCCCGCTGGGACTGGCCCACCCCAAAGGCGCCACGCTGGCCATGAGGATATGCCGACATGGCCCCCGACCGTGGGGTGTCTTCCCCTGTCCCCAGAAGTGGCTCTTCCAGCCCCTCTCCCTCTCCTTCCCTGAAGCCCCACCCGCTGGCCCTGACCACCCGCTGCCCCTCCACCCCCATCGGTCCCTCGGGAGCCGCCCCCAAGCTCTGACCTCACCCTCCGGCCCTTGCTCCCACAGGGAGCTCACTTAGCGGTCATTGATGCCCTCATGATTGCCTTCACCTTTGAGTGGACAAAGACGCTACCCGGTCCCTTGGCCCTGGCCAGCTTGGAGCACAAGCTCCTTTTCTGGGTGGACACGGTAGGCTGGGTTGGGCAGGAAGGGGCCGGGGGCCCGGGTGGCCCAGCGCCAGGGAACTGAGCTCTTCCTGCCCCCAGACCGTCCGTCGGCTGCAGGAAAAGACGGAGCAGGAAGCTGCCCAGAGAGCGTCTCCTCCGGCTCCCCCGGAGGGGGTGGCCCCGGCACAGCCCTCGGTGAGACGCGGGGCGCGGGCCGGGGGCGGGGGCGGGGGGCCGCGCCGTGGTGGGGCCGCAGTGACGCTGTCTCTCTGCCGCCTCTCCCCGTGCCCACTCCGCCGCTCTCCTCTCTGCCCCTCTGGTGACAGTGCCCCACGCGCTGGTACTGGAAGCTGGTTCCTGTAAGTGGGGCTGTCTCTCCGCCTGTCTGCCTGCCCGCTGTTGCTCTGCCTGCCTGTGTCTGTGCTGCCTGCCTGTCTGCTCTCCTCCTCTCCCCAGCTGTGAGCAAAGTGGGTGCACTCCGGCCCTGGGCGAGCCCAGAGAGGGGAGACTCCGCCCCAGTTAGCTGACGGGGTGCTGCACCTCCCTCCTGTTAATCAAGAGGGCGGGGTCCCCTCAGCCCTTAGCTCAGGTGGGAGCGCTCAGCCCGCCTGGAGAACACTCCCTCCCCGGGAGAGGGGCCCTCGGGTCCAACCGAGGGCCAGAGGGCTCTTCTGAGACTCCAGCTTCCCCAGGGCAAACCCCAGCTTTGGGCAGAAGGACACCCGTCCTTGCGCACAGTGACCTCTGCAGGTTGGGGAGGCTTGCGCTAGATGGGTCCAACTTTGCTCACTCTGGGGCCTCCTCTCCGCCCTGGGGCCTGGGTTGGGGGTTCCTGTCCTGCCTGCCAGCTTCTTCCACGCCCCTCCCCAGGCTGGGTCTTGTGTGGGAGGACTCCTTGCATGGGAAGCTGTGGGGTCCCTCTGGGCTGGGAGGAGCTGGGGCCCCCAAAGCCGGCCAGAGCACAGTCAGGGTGCCGGACAGCCAGGGCTCGGGACACGGGGCCAGGGCGTCCCTCTCCGTGGAGGTGTGCTTGGGGGCCCGGCAAGTCAGCGCCCCCACCTGCTGACGGCTGCTCCTCTCCCCCCAGCACGCAATTGCCTTCTGTTTGAAGGAGTCGGGGAGCAAACCCCCCATGGTAATGTATCCCCCACCCCGGGGTCCCAGGCGTCCCCGCCCCGGCCCGCTGCTGGCCTGGCTGCTCGCAGACACCGCCACTGCCTCTCGCTGCTGCCCTTCCCCTGCTCCAGGCTGGCCCCTACTCTGGCTCTGGGCCCCGGCTTCACGCCCCTCATGACGGAGCCCCCAGGCCCCCTCTGGGCCTGCACGGCCACTGGTCTGGAGGCGGCCCGGCCGCTGACCTGCCTCGGCTCCCGCCCACAGATCCGGTACCGAAAGGACCGTGCGGTCGCCCGACGTGCCCCCTGCTTCCCGGCGGTGACTGGCCTCCAGGACCTGGCGAGCGGGGCCGCGCTGGCGACCACCATCCACTGCTACTGTCCGCAGCTGTTGCGCCTTGAGGGTGAGTGAGCAGGCGGCCAGGCGCCGCCCTCAGGAGCCAGTGTGGGGCCCAGGCCAGGCGAGGCCCGAGTGTGGGCGCTGCGGGTGCCGGCTCGCTGGCTGAGCCTCTCCCGAGGGCGGAAGCTCCAGTGTCCGGCCTCCCGCGCTTCACGGGAGCCCTTCTCGGAGGGTGGTGACCGCACGCACTGTGCCGGCCGCTGGCGCCTGGGACCTGCCGGAGAGGCCCCGGGCGTCAGACGCCCCGAGGGCCGGGTAGAGTCCGTTTAGGTTCCGTCCTGGGAGGCCCAGTGCTCTAGGCCACGGGGCTGTGGTGGCAGGCGGCAGTCCCCGCCGCGCGAAGGGCACCCGGGAGCAGCCCGGGCCCTCAGGCGGCCCGGTGTTGGTGCCGGTCTGGCCCCCTGGGCCCGTCCTGGAGAGCCGGGGCCCAGGCGTCTTGTCCTTGCAGAGATATGTCTCAAGGACCCCATGTCCGTGGCGGACAGCCTGTACAACCTCCAGCTGGTGCAGGACTTCTGTGCTTCCCGCCTTCCCCGGGGCTGCCCGCTGTCCCTCGAGGACCTGCTCTATGTCCCACCGCCCCTCAAGGTAAGGCCCCGCCCGAGGCCTGGGCGGTGTCGGCGTGGGGCCTGTGGCTGACCTTGCCTTCCGCTTGCAGATCAACCTGGTGGTGCTGCTCGCAGAGATGTTCATGTGCTTCGAGGTGCTGAAACCTGACTTTGTGCAGGCCAAGGACCTGCCCGACGGACACGGTGAGGCCCGGCCGGGCCGGGGCGGGGCGGGCGGGGTGGAGGCCGGGCCTGCCTGACTCTCTCCTCTGCGCCGCAGCTGCCTCCCCCCGGGCTGCAGAGACCGCCACGCCTCCGAGCAACAGCGGCAGCAGGTGCGGCCCCCTGTTGGCTGAGTGTCCGCCACCCGGGTGGGCGTCGGCTCCTGGGGGGACCTGGGGGGCTGGGGGACACTGTTCCACCCTGGGAGAGGTGGGGGAGGGCCTGCAGCGCTGTGCATCTCTCGGCAGCTCCCCTGTCTTCAACTTTCGCCATCCACTCCTGTCGCCTGGTGGCCCCCAGTCCCCGCTCCGAGGATCTACAGGTGAAGGCGGGTGATGGCCGGTCGCTAGAGCCCCCCACCAACGACGACCCCAGCTGGGTCCCTCTGGCCCCTCAGTGACCTGTGGCGGCACTCCCCGGCCCCCACAGCGACCTCCCACTGGGAGGCCCTTGGTGACCCTGAGAGGCCCAAGCTGTCTGTCCACATAATGACCCATCAGTGACACGCCCTGGGGACCCGAGACCCCAGTGAGCCCTGAGTGACCACTCGCGCCCCTCCACAGGCTCCCTGCGCTCCTCCCCGTCCATGTCCCACATGGAGGCCCTCGGCAAGGCCTGGAACCGGCAGCTCAGGTGAGTGCATCTCAAGGGCCCGGCCAGGGAGCGGCTGGGCCAGGGAGGGACTGAGGCGTGTCCCAGGGGCTGACCCTTCCCTCCGGCCGCCCAGCCGCCCCCTCTCCCAGGCTGTGTCGTTCAGCACTCCCTTTGGCCTGGACAGCGACGTGGACGTCGTCATGGGAGACCCCGTCCTCCTCCGCTCAGTCAGCTCCGACAGCCTGGGCCCCCCTCGCCCCGCGCCGGCCCGGCCCCCCGCCCAGCCAGCCCCGGAGCCTGGCGACCTGCCTACCATTGAGGAGGCCCTGCAGATCATCCACAGTGCCGAGCCCCGGCTGCTGCCCGACGGGGCTGCCGACGGCAGCTTCTACCTCCACTCCCCTGAGGGGCCCTCCAAGCTGCCTCTGGCGTCCCCCTACCCGCCTGAGGGGGCCTCAAAACCGCTGCCCGATGGGCCCACCAAAGCACCCACCTACTTGCCCCACCCCGAAGTCCCCTTGAAAGTGCCTCCCTGTCCAGCAGGGGAGGTATCGAAGCCCCTGGCTCCGTCCGAGGGGTCCCCGAAGGCTGTTGCTTCGTCCCCAGCAGCCAACAATTCTGAAGTGAAGATGACCAGCTTCGCCGAGCGCAAGAAGCAGCTGGTGAAGGCTGAGGCCGAGGCCGGGGTGGTGTGCCCGGAGGCCGTCCCGGCACCCCCCGAGGCCCTGAGCTCCGAAATGAGTGAGCTTGGCGCCCGGCTGGAGGAGAAACGGCGGGCCATCGAGGCCCAGAAGCGCCGGATCGAGGCCATCTTCGCCAAGCACCGCCAGCGGCTGGGCAAGAGCGCCTTCCTGCAGGTGCAGCCGCGGGAGGCCGGAGGGGAGGCGGAGGCTCCGGCGGAGCCCGGTGTGGCGCCCGGTGGGGAG